ATTTCTAAGTCTAAAACATCCCGTAGCCTGTCTAAAACTCACCCGAGATATCGGGGCTCTAAACCAAACATGCACACAAATTTAAAAATATCATACGAATTTGCTCATGCTATCAAATTGCCAAAATAACACCTAGGACTATGAATTTAGCACCAAATCACATAAAATTCTTAAGAACACTTTTAAATTTATATTTTCACAACCGGACGTCTGAATCCCGTCAAATCAGTTTCGTTTCTCACCAAATTTCACAGATAAGGTATAAATATTATTTTGGACCTGTATCGGGCTCCGGAATTAAAATACGGGCCCGATACCAACAAGATCTAACATTAACCAAATTCTTAAAACCATTTAATTTTTAGTCTTTCAATTTTCATCAAAAATTTATATCTCGAGCTAGGGACCTCGGAATTCGATTTCGGGCATAAGCTCAGGTCCCATATTTCGATACGGACCCACCGAGACTGTCAAAATACGAGTACGGGTCTGTTTATTCAAAACATTGACTGAAGTCAACTAAATCAACTTTTAAAGGCAAAAATTATTATTTTTATCAACTTTCAACATAAAAAATTTTCGGAAACACGCCCGGACCGTGCACGCAAATCGAGAAGGGATAAAATGAGGTTTTGAAAGTCTCGAAATACGGAATCGAGTTCTAAAGCATAAGATGACCTTTTGGGTCATCACAATAAGAGCTTGTTTGGAAAGCCACCTTGGAAATGGATTTGGGTGTAATTACATTGTTTGGCATGTTTATTTGGCCAAGTAATTACTTGGTCAGCATGGAATTGGGTATAATTGGAGGGGTGTAATTACACTCTCCAATTCTCAAGTGGGAGGTGAGAATTGGTGGTAATTACAATGTGTAATTACAAGGTTGCTTTTTAGTTTCTTTCCTTTTTGTTTTATTTTAATTTATTTTCTTTACAACTTTTTATTTCTATTATTTTATTTTTACTTTTTAATTTCTTTTGAAATTTTAAAATATATTTTTCTTTGTATATTATTTATCTTTTATTTCTCTACCTTTACTTGTGATTTCATATAATTGCTTATATTTTATTTTTATTTATTTTATTATTCTATTTTTTAAACTACTGCTCCTAATATTTGAAATAATGAGTCATTAACAAACTTGGCACAATGATACAATTAAAGTGGAATTTCATTGTTGAATGTGATTATAAACTTATTATGTTTCCTAATCTTAAGTTGTAGTGGAACTTACTATTATTATGTTAGAATTTGACATATGTTAAATTATTTTTATTTTTTTGAATTTTAAAATTGTGTTATATTCATGGTTCCAATTTATGACAAAACTAATGAATCCGAGACAAAATAACTTCAGCTTTTAGTGCTGAAGTTTTTACAAATGAACTAAATAACTTCAGCATCTTCTGCTGAAGTTTATGAAAAAGCTTATCCAAGACAAAAAAAACTCCAGCTTATTTAGTGCTGAAGTTTTTATAAATGAACTAAATAACTTCAGCATCTTCTGCTGAAGTTTTTGAAAAAGCTTAATGACAAAACTAATGAATCCAGGACAAAAAAAACTTCAGCTTATTTAGTGCAATTACAAACAAAAACTTCAGCAAATAGAGAACAAAACTTCAGCTACTATGCTTAAGTTACTTCAGCAAATAGAGAACAAAACTTTAGCTACTATGTTTAAGTTGAGCAATTACAAATAAAAACTTCAACACATTTGGTTCAGCACACTTGCTACTTCAGGCCCTTCTACTAGAATGCTGAAGTTTTGCGTGATTGCCTTTGCTACTTCAGCCCCGTAAAAAAAGTGGGTACGCTTGTAATATTTTTTGCAAAGCGGGCACAAGTTAAAACGTGACCCAAAAAACGAGTATAGATGCAAATGCCCCCTCCGCATCCCAAAATACAACATTAAAAAAATCCCTTGAATGCTAAGTTAATTTCCAAATAGCTAGACATAACAATGAGAAATTTGCTATCGCCAATAGATAAACTGTAACTTATATAATGTTGTTTCCTAATTCAGAATAATTAAAGGAATTTTTATCTCCTATAGCAAAGGTTAACATCTTATTTATTTTAAATAAATACCATTTAAAAAAAATATTCTATGGATACCTTTTAAGGTTTATAGCAAAATATTTAATTTTGGTTACCTCTTAGCCCTAAGCCACTAAATACGCTAATCAGTTACACTATGTTCTTTCTCTCTCTACTTTGATATATCACATTCTCTTCCCCCATCCCATTAAAATTTTCGATCTCCTCCTCCTTCCACCGGATTTGTGCAAAGCCCATCTCCTAGATTCTTCAACACAATGATCCAATTTAAAATTTTCAAGAAATTCAAACGCTTGAAGCTTTTTGAGCCATCACCAGGTGTACTTGGCTGCTTTTTCTTCACTATTTGCTTATTCTTGTGTCTGTTTTTGTTGGACTACAGAAAAGTAAACAAAGGGCCTCGTTTGTATCAGCAAACACCCTTGTTTGCTACGTGAATTAGGCTCAATGGATCGTCTGTTCCATATAACAAGACTGAAAAGTTGGATTTTTTGGAAAAGGGAGCAGAAAGTTGTGATTTTTTTTTATAGGAATTGGGTTTGGGATGAAAGTTATCCACTGTATAAATCAAAGGATTGTAAGTTCTTGGATGAAGGCTTTTGTTGTTCTGAAAATGGTAGACCTGATAATTTTTATACTAAATGGCATTGGCAACCTAAAGATTGCAAAGACAGCAGTCGCCGACATATAATCCGGTTGGTTTGTTCTTGAACAAAGACGATGGAGTTTGGGGCTGAGCAATTTGATTTTCTGTTAATATATTTTAATGTATTTTCATGTATTTCATTGTATTTTTTTCATTGTAATTCAATGTGTCTCGTTGTATTCAATGTATTTCATTGTATTCACTGTCTTTTTTTCTCATTGTATTTCAATATGTCCCGCTATATTCTATGCATTTCATTGTATTCACTGTCTCTCTATATTCCATGAATGTATTCATAAGTTTTTTTTAATTAATATAATTTATGTATTTAGATGTATTATATAATTTCTCTGAAGATTGCTATGTTTTTGGGATATTTTTGGATGAGAATCTTTTTTTATAACTGAAAATATAAATTTTGTGTGTTATAATTGAGTTTGTTGAGTTATATTAGGAGCATATTATGTTAATTGATTCACTTCCCATTTTAAAAACAGTGTAATCCCCTATTTCACGCTGTGAATACAGTCGAATACAATAATCTGTCTAGCTGTAATCCTGTGTTTCACTCTATGAATACAGTCAAATACACTTGAATACAATAACTGATTAGTTGGACTTCCCTGATTCACGCCTATTTTTGCTACTGTATTCATGAATATAATAGCTTAAATACATCAAATACATTCTTATAACTACATAAAAGTTATCTATAATTCGTAATATAGCAAATGGTATCTATAGATGACTAATTACTACTAAAAGATAGTGCTTTATGAAAATTTCCCATAATTAAATTATCATACATTACATGGTGAAAATGGTTTGGGATTAGAACAAAACGAATGGGGCATTTGCATCTATACCTGCCTTTTGTGTTACGTTTTAACTTGTGCCCGCTTTGCAAAAAAAATTGCAAACGTACCCGCTTTTTTGCATAACTTCAGCATACGGGATTGAAGTAGTAAAGACAGTCACGCAAAACTTTAGCATTCTAGTAGCTGGGCCCGAAGTTCAGCCCTAAAGCTGAAGTTTTTTTTTGTAATTGTCGAACTTCAGCTCTAGAGCTGAAGTTTTTGTTTGTAACTGGTAAACTTCAGCTCTAGAGCTGAAGTTTTTGTTTGTAAGCTTCAGCTCTAGAGCTGAAGTTTTTGTTTGTAAGCTTCAGCTCTAGAGCTGAAGATTTTGTTTTGTAACTGTCACAGAACTGAAGTTTTTATTTTATAACTGTCAAACTTCAGCTCTAGAGCTGAAGTTTTTGTTTGTAACTGGCTTTTTGTTTGTAAGCTTCAGCTCTAGAGCTGAAGTTTTTGTTTTGTAACTGTCAAACTTCAGCTCTAGAGCTGAAGTTTTTGTTTGTAACTGGCTTTTTGTTCGTAAACTTCAGCTCTAGAGCTGAAGTTTTTGTTTTGTAACTGTCGAACTTCAGCTCTAGAGCTGAAATTTTTGTTTGTACTAATATTTTGTTTGGCTCTCCTCTTCTTGAGTTGGAATTTTTTTAATCACTTGACTGCTTTTCCTGTACTTTGCAAAGACAACTATAATCACTGGTGATTTCATATGGATAACCCTTTGTACTTTTTGTAGCCAAAATGAGAGTAGTCAATCTGTCATTTATCCTTAATTATGGTGGTTCTTTGTTTAGGTGAAAAGTTGCTACAAATTACTTGACCTACTTGTCATAGTTGTTTTTGTGTACGTGTAAGCACGTAATTTTTGACCCACACAAATTTTAAAGTTTTTTAATATTTTAATATTTTTAAAATATTTACTTGACTTTATTTTAAAATAATTTTAATCTTTTTACTTTTAGTCCTAAGACATAAAAAAATATAAAATAGTTTTATTTATCGTGTTTATCGCTTTTCTATATTTTTATCTTTAGTTTAAGATCAATTAGTATATTTTTATTCATGGTATCTTAATTTTATCATGACTTTAGTCTATTTTCTTTACTTTTTACTTTATTATTATAACATTTAAAAATACAAAAAAAAGTAGTTTCATTTTAAAATTTTGTTTATTTACTTAACTAAGTTTAATTAATATTTTGGTAGGATTTTTGAGTTTGTCTTTGTCCAACAAGAAAATTTGTAGGCCTAAAGGTGTGAGTCCATTTCTTTTAACTTAAACCCAATTATTTTTAGTCCATTCTTCCCAACCCATTAGCCCATTTATGTGCAAGATTTAATCCTAACCATCTATTTCCTTCTAATCCAATGGCCATCATCCCTCTCCACCTTCATATAAAATACACAATTATAGAAACCCTATCTTCATCTTCCATCTTGAACCACAAAAACAACACAGCCGAGAACCACCGAAAATTCCCCTCCATCGGCTCTCTTCTGCTTCAGAACCAAAGAACCCCAACTCGTCGGAATCCCCGATTCCAAGACCAAACCGCCACACCACCTTCCCCTATTAAACTCCAATTTCGCAATTAAAAATCTTCTATTTCTAGTTCTACAGCTTTCGAATCCTTTAACTCATAGAAGCTCAGATTGTTGAACTAATTTTGACCACTAATGAGTTGGATTGGGGAGCTCAGCAATGAGCTCGTTCGTTGAGGTCGCCGTTCGTTCAACCCTATTCAAATCGATTGGAAGCAATGAACTATTATGTTTGAATTCTAGTTGTCGTTCGTTCAATTTGGTTGCCGCTACTGCTGTTCGTTTCTTTTGGATTATTTTGAGTTTATGTTTATTTCTTTTTTGCTGCAAAAAATTACGGAGTTCGACTGAGGTTAAGCTGAGTTCGAGTTCGTCGACGAGTTTCAGTCCGTTGGCCTTGGTCGAGTTTTCTTATTCCCGATTCAGTTTGGATTCAATCCAATTTCTCAGAAGAAAATTACCATTAAAGGTCTAATCCTCTTTCTTCCTTTGTTTCCTTGTGCATTTTTATGTTATAACTTTGATGCAGATTGCTTGACTTTGCAAACTGGTTTTGTGGCTTAATTTGTATGTTTATATTTTCTTGGCAGAATAGTTATTGTGCTTTGGAGTCACTTATTCTTTAATTGAGAATATAAGAAACGAATTGAATTTGGGTTATGGGTTTAGTTAAAAGTTGAAATTGAAGACGACACTATTTTGAAGGCATGGAAGTGATTTGAACTTAAGAATGCTTTGATTAATTTGTTGTCTGATTTTATTCTATTAATGGACATGGGATCAGGATTTAAAGGAGCAGAATTGAAATTTGAATATTACATGTTGGCTACTTTATTACTTCGATTGCTAGGAGCATGTTTAGGCCGTCAACATTTGGGTAGGCAAACTTTAGGTCTTTTCATTTATTTAGTTCGGGGCGAGAGGTCGTTCTCTTTAGTTCATTTGCAGGGAAAATGCCCCGTAGACTTTGTATATATTTATCCGGGGTATGCCCCGTAGTATTTGTATTTGGAGGCCGAAAGTAGAACTCGTAGTATTTTTATTTTATTTTCATTTTTCATTTTTTTTCTTTTATTAGGTAGGGATGACCTCGAGCCTCTTGTGTGTTTATTTTTCTTTGTTGTGTTTATTTTACCTTAATTCGAATATTCTAAAAGTCGACTAAATCGAGTACGCAACCGTGACTTTCACGGGACTTGGGGAGTGCCTAACACCTTCTCCCCGAGTCAAATGAACCCTCTTATCCGAATCTCTGGTGCAGACTTAGTTTTGGAGTCTCAAGTGTTTTGAAAGGAAAAATTATTTTTAGAAAAAACGGTAACCTAACACACCGATATCAAATGTCAGGTGGCGACTCTGAATTAATCCTTTTGAACACTATATTTTGTCACTTTCAAAATTGAAAAACCCTTTCGAGCTTTACTAAATTCCTTTTATTATTTTAAGAGGGTTAAGTGAGGTTTGTTAAAAAAGGGGGTGTGACATCTCTGGCGACTCTACTGGAGAATTGCAGGTTCGAGCTGGTACTTGATCTTGTTGGCTTTTAGGATATTCGGTTGAGGTTTTATGTGTTTTGTTTGCTTTATTTGATTCTTATTTTGTTTATGTCATTTTATTATTTGCTAGTTGCTTATTTGTTTATAGTTTTTCCTTTATGTGTTGATGCTTTATAAACTATCATCATTTGCATAACCATGGGTCTTCTTTCTGTAACAAGTCTCGGAGTACGCGTCGCGTGCACGAACTCTTTGTTGAGTCACCCTTAATTTAGGAGGGGGGCCGTTTGACGTATGGAGTGGGTGGAAAGTTTGAGCAGCCACCATCGACCATACGCTCCCCCGAATTGCCTTGTTAGTAAACCCTAAACTTAGGTCGGCCTTTAGGTCATATTTATTTGCATCATGTCATTTAGACCTAGCAGGGCTCGGTCCCAAGTACCGTGTCCCTTTATAGGAAGTCTATCTAAATTTTGTCAAAATAGGCTCGTGGCCTAGAAAGACGTTCAATCATCCCTATGTGATACATGTTGCATCTGTGAGGGTAAAAAGGTCATTTGGCGGACCGATGTCTTGGAAAGAAGGGTGAAAAATGAAGCAAGTAGGGCCCATTTGCATTTTTCTTTCATAGTTTTCCAAAAAAAAATGAGTGAAAATGAAAAATCCAAAAAAATAGATTTTATACTTTCCCATTATTTTTCAAAAAATTCAAAAAAAAAAGAAGAGAAAAAGAAAGTTCAAAAGATTTTTACATTTTCCTTCATTTTTTAAAAATTCAAAAATGAAAAGGAAAATCCAAAAGTTTTTACATTTTCAATCATTTTTTTCAAAAAGACAAAAATATCGTTTTTGCAAATTGGATGCATTTTTTCTAAAATTCTATCCCTTATCTAATCTTCTCGAACTACGCGAACCTAATCCTCGTCTTTCGAGATTTGATACGTAGGCAACCCACATAGGGTCCGGTCTTTCTAGTAGGTCCTAGGTTCTTGGCTTCCGGGGTCGTAGCCAAATCTTGCATGTATAGCCATATTTGGCCACATTGGCCGTTTTTGCAAAAATAGAAGTGTTTTCTCAAAGTAGTTTGTTATCTCTTGTCTTAGGATCTTGAGTCTACAATAAAGTTTCCACTTAATTCTAAGGTTCATTCCTGTCAAATTTGCATGTCTAGCCACTTTTGGCCACTTCGGTCATTCTTGCAAAATAGGGTTATTTTCGCAAGAGTGGCTCAATTACCCATGTCTTAGGATCTTGAGTTTATAACTCGGTGTCATATCACTTTAAGGTCCATCCATGTCATGTTTGCGTCCCTAGCCACATTTGGCCACATCGGCCATTTTTGCAAAAAAGGGTCCATTTCCGCAAAGTAATTTTTAAGACCATGATTGTCGGGATATTAGAGTCATGTAAGCTTTAAATGGAGTATTTCTCGTGCATTAGGGGTCAACTTTGTCGAGTTTGCGCTAATAGCCACTTTTAGCCACTTAGGCCATTTTGCAAATATAGCCAAGCTGTGTCCTACATTTGTCCACTAGGAAATGTGGTGGGGTCACGTAGTGTCCCGAGTCGCTAACCATGTTTGCTTCATTCAGGTATGGACCCGCTGATTCGATCCAAAGTGCTGATGGTAGTAAAGATTCCTAGGAAGTTGATCAAGTGGTGGAAAATGTTTTCATCGTTAGAGCAGCATGAGTTAATGCAGAAATTGGGCACCCTAACTTCCCTTCTTGATATCACACCCCGCCCAGACTTAGTGGAGGTGATGCTGACTTATTGGGATCCACAAAATTTGATTTTCAGATTTGGAGAGTGTGAGATGACTCCTACCTTGGCGGAAATGTCTGGTCTCACTCGTTTAAGCTATATAGGCAAGGACATGATACTTCCCCGAGACCACTCTAGGACAAGATTCCTCAGCGACCTGGGCCTGAAAGATAATAAGCATTTAAAATGTCTCGAGCAGTCCTGGATATCCTTGGATTATTTGTTTGCTAGATTTGGACCACATGATAGTTTTGACGTCTTTTGGGATGAGTTCTGCACAACCAAGGCAAAGTGGCAAAGACGTCGCCTCGAAGCTTTCAGCCTTGCTTTGTTGGGATTATTGATTTTTCCATTAGATGATAGGCACATTAGCACCCGTCTACATTCAGTGGTAATGGCACTATTTCATGAGAAGCAATGCAAAACCGTTGTGCCGATGATCTTAGCAGAGTTGTACCGAGCCCTGAGCGAGGTTAGGGGAGGTGTCAGATATTTTGAGGGAAGTAACCTTTTGCTACAGCTGTGGATGATGGAGCATTTGCACACCGCTTCCTTACTTTGTCCCATCGACCGTGCCTTGAGGGATCGGGTGGTATGCATCGAACGTAGGATGAAATATCCTAAGTTTATGTACCCAGTAGGCGTCACGGCTTGGATTGAGTCCCTTGGTTTGAGGACAAATGGGAATGTTTTATGGGCTTACCTTTGGCTACCTTTGGATGATATCTTGGTAGGGTGCCTCATGCAGCCTTTCCTGATGCTGATAGGACTCAAGTGTGTCAGGTCGTACACTCCCATTAGGGTAATGCGACAATTGGGCAGAAGACAAGAGGAGCCTCCAACTTTGAATCTTCGGAGGCACATCATAAATTTTAGCAAAAAGGCGGCTGATGAAATCAGGTATGTGCAATACTGGAACAATGCAAAGAGGATGAAGAAAAATACATTAGTAAAGGACGTTGGCAGGCCCGAGTGTACTCAGGAGTACTTGATTTGGTTACAGTCCATCCCGCCAGGAGTCAGCACCCCATTGCCAGCACAACTTAGGGGTCGGGCAGTTTAGACAGGTGATTTTGAGGAGGCATCGGACCAAGATCCCTGGGATAAGCTTGAGTTGATAAAGTCTCAGTTAGCGGGATTGGCAGCAAATGTGGAGCAGCATGGCCAGTATTTGTTTAGGGTCGGCCTTCAGGATGCGGGGGCATACGCCAGGGCCTTTATTCCTAGCATCGGTGTTTCTTTACGAGGCATGTTACAGAGTTTGAGCATGATGGACAGCCCAGGACCATCCCGGTCAGGACAGTCGCATTCAGGAGCAGCTTGACATTCTATTTAGGTGTTTTGAGATTGTCTTATGTTGTCTTTTACTTTCGTGTCTTGTCTAGAAGTACCGAGTCCTTTAGGTAGTGTCAGAGTCTGTCGTAGTGTAGTTGAGTCTGTCATGTCTTTCATTATCGTATTTCCCTTTGTATTTTAATATCGAAAAGTTTTAAATGAAAAATCCCAAAAATATTTTATTTTCAGTTTATTTTCCACCACTTCTCCAGAACTACGCTTGGTCTGATTCATGAGGGACATGATACATAAGCAACCTACATCGGGTTCGATCAAATCATTTTTGGTTCAAAATAAAAAGAGAAAGAAAAAGAAAAAGAAAAGAGTGGTAAGAGGTGTTGGAAAAGAAAGAGAAGAAAGGATTGAAATGAGCAAATTGGGATGATGCCATATGACCCTGCGACCCTCAAAGCCATTTTAGAATCGTTAATCGTTGCTAGGTGCATTGCACGTAATATGATATTATTATTTGATAAATGCTATAACTCTAACATGGTGGTTTTGTGTTGTTGTCCTCTGTTATCTCTATTAAGTTTCAGGAAGGTGGTTAGTTTGTTGGCATCGTGGCAAGTCATCCACACAACACCCGATCAAAGCGTCAAACAGTTATGGCTAGCAAGGAAACAAACACTGGAGTTGTAGACCCACCAAGGGAGATTGTTGAGTCGGAATCAGAATTGCAAGAGGAGGTCCGAAGGTTGAAGCACCAGATGGCGGAAATGTATCAGGCCTGGATTAAGGGACACCCTCCACCCTCATTCCTTACCAACTACATAGAAAACCCTGCTTCCATTCCACCACTCTCTCAATCCCAGATGCCCAATACCATTGATCTTTCACCACAACACGCACCTGGCTTTACCCCTTACCACAACTACCCTGGCACTTCAGCCCAAACTGTTCATGCTCCGCCAGCCAAAACAACCTCGTACCCTGCTCCGACATCTGCTCCTATTTTTGTACCCCTCCACAAGCTACCTTCCACTGATCCTCTAGTGGGCCTGCATTCCCCGCTACAGATGCCCACTACTATGCACCGGAGCCCACCTTCAAAGTCCCAAATCCTTACTCTTACACTTCCCAATTTGAGCCTCATGTTGAAACTGACAAACCACCCAAGAATGCAGAGAAAGAAGAGATGTTTAGGAAGGTACAGAGTCTGGAGCAATGATTGAGAAATATGCAAGGGTTGGGAAACCAAGTGAGTGTGGCCTATAAGGATTTGTGTTTGTTCCCCGATGTCCAACTGCCTGCTGGGTTCAAGATGCCCAAGTTTGACTTGTATGACGGACATGGGAATCATGTAGCTCATCTGAGAGGTTATTGCAGTAAAATGAGAGGCGCCGGGGGAAAAGATGAATTACTGATGGCATACTTCAGCTAAAGTCTGAGTGGGGCAGCTTTAGAATGGTACACCCGCCAGGACGCCAACAGGTGGTACACCTGGGACGATATGGCTCAGGCCTTTGCCCGGCACTTTCAGTACAATATAGACATTGTTCCAGACCACCTATCTTTGACCAAGGTGGAAAAGAAATCCAGTGAAAGCTTTAGAGAATATGAGTTCCGATGGAGGGAGCAAGCTGCACAAGTCAATCCTCCGATGGAGGAGGACGAGATGGTTAAATACTTTCTTCAAGCCCTAGAGCCCACTTACTATGGCCACTTGATCTCAGCCATTGGTAAGTCTTTCAATGATGTGGTAAAGATGGGAGAAATGGTGGAAGAGGGGTTCAAGTCGAGTAAGATCATGAGCTATTTTGCTATAAAAGCAACCACCCAGGCAATTCAGACTGGTACCGAAAGTTTGCTAGGCAAGAAGAAGAAGGAAGATGTCGCTATGGTTGTCTCCAGATCATGGCATGGACAGAGGGGTTCACCTCATCAATACACCCATCCTCGACCTCGACCTCAAGCCTACGCCCAAGCTTCATAAAATCCACCTCAACATTACTTTTCCCCGCAAAACCCCCAATACTCAGCCAGGCTATCCCAATACCTTGTTCACCATGCACAGTCATATGCTCAACCCCCTCCTTACCCGCATGCTCCAGCTCCGTAGAATATCTACCCAACTCCACAAAATACCTATCCACCCCCACAACCCTATCAAAACCCCACTGGTTCAAATTTTCGATCAAGGCCAGAGTATAGGAGAGAGAGGCAGTAGCGGAAACAAACTTTTACCCCGTTTGGAGAGTCCTATGCTAGTTTGTTTCAAAGGTTAAGGCAGTTGGACGTCTTGAGGTCGATTGAGTCAAAGATACTGAATCCCCCTCCAAAAAACCTCGACTATTCCCTAAGATGTGCCTATTGTTCTGATGCTCCAGGGCATGACATAGAGAAGTGCTGACATTTGAAAAAGGCAATCCAGGAGCTTATTGATACCAACCAAATTGTAGTCCAAAGCCCAAACGCGCTGAACATCAACCAAAACCCTTTGCCAGCCCATGCAGAGATGCATATGATTGAAATAATTCACAAGGATGGGGAGCCTAGGAAGTCTTCTAAGTCTGTCATGATAATTCGGGCCAGTGAAAGCAATTTGGTTAAAGCTCCTGACTCTACCAAAGCGAAACCCTTGATCATTGAAGGGGTGATAGAAAAACCGAGCTCGCTCAATTTGAAACCACCAGTGTTGGTCGTGAATGGGCTGTCAAAAGATGTTATGGCAAGTCCGGAAAGTTCAAAAGTGGTAGTACCAGGGATTCCAAATAAGCCTGTCGTAGTTGTGAAGGGGGCTCCTGCTACCCCTATCATCATTAAACCAGTAACCCAGCTTCCAGTGGTGGATGCCAAGGCTGTTCTGTGGAATTATAAACAAGTGATGGTGACATACAAAGGAAAAGAAATAAAAGAAGAAGTTAATGAAACTGGAGGATTGACTCGTTCTGGGAGATGTTTCACCCCAGAAGAATTAAGGAAAGCCAAGCCATTAAAGGATAGCCCAATGCCAGTAAAGAAATCAGTCACCGACGAAGAGGATGAGGAGTTCCTGAAAAAGATGAAAGTGCAGGATTATTCCATTATGGAGCAGTTAAGGAAAGCACCAGCTCAGATTTCTCTTTTGTCTTTGTTGATACATTCAGATGAACATCGCAAGGCCTTGATAAAGATTTTGAATGAGGCACATGTTCCTGATAAGATCACAGTGAACCACTTGGAAAAGATAGCTGGCAAGATCTTCGAAGCAAATAGGATCACTTTCTCGGATGATGAACTTCCTATGGAGGGTACAGAACACAACCGAGCTCTTTATCTCACAGTGAAGTGTGAAGATTCTGTTGTCTCAAGGGTTTTGGTTGATAATGGCTTTAGTGCAAATATTTGTCTCCTGTCTACTCTGCAAAAATTGAAGATTGGCACCGAAAGAATCCACTTGAACAGTGTGTGTGTTCGAGGCTTTGATGGGGGAGGTAAAGATTCTGTTGGAGATATAATGCTCGAATTGTCGATAGGGCCTGTTGAGTTTACCATGGAATTCCAAGTGTTAGATGTGGCTGTCTCCTACAATCTGTTGTTAGGCTGGCCCTGGATACATACTGATAAGGCAGTCCCGTCTTCTCTGCACCAAATTGTGAAGTTCGAATGGGACAGGCATGAATTAGTTGTGTATGGTGATGAGGACTTGTCAGCTTGTAATGATACAATTGTTCCGTTATCGAAGTTGAAGATGATAAGGGACCTTGGGTCTATCAGACTTTCGAAACAGTGTCTGTTGAGAAAATTCCTGAAGGAAAATGCATTCCAGGTCCTAAGCTATCCTTCGCGTCCGTCATGGTTGCGAATGAAATGTTGAAGAATGATTTTGTGTCGGGCAAGGGTTTGGGCTCATTTCTGCAGGGTATTGTGCATCCAGTGCACCCCAGTGGGAATCCTGGTACATTTGGTTTGGGATTCATGCCTACAGAGAAGGAGGTGAAAAGGGTTAAAATCCGAAACAGAAGGTATGGTCGCTCTCCAAGCCCATCCCATACATCTCTAAGTCTTTTGTCAAGCCAGGGACCGAAAAACCTCCAACATCCTCAATCCCAAAACTTGTGGTCGATGTTGATGAAGAGCTGATCAAGAGGTTCCAAAGTCTGTTCGAAGAGGTCAATATGGTAGAAGTTGGTGAAGGCTCTAGTAAAGCAAATGTGCAGCTCGTTGGCCCATAGAAATTGGGAAGCTACTCCTCTCCCCACTAGGAGGGAGTTTTGGTAGTTTGCTTTGTTTTCCTTTCTGTTATCTGGGTTATTTCAGGGTTGTAATCCAGATTTTTAGTTTTTGCTTGTTTTGATGTTCAAACCCTTCTATCCTTTTATTTTCAATGAAATGCAATTTTTCGTTTTCCGTTATTCTTAATAGTGTTTTATTTTGTTCTTTTTTCTTTTGTACAGTTCTTTTTATGCTAGTTACAATGACATGACATGCATGAAGAGTTTTCAGCCGAGTCTTAAAAGCCAATCTAATTCTGAAATAACAATCCAAGAAGTAGAATATGATGAAGAAGCAGCATTTGAGGAAATCAGTAAAGAGATAAAACAATTTGAAGAAAAACCAAAGCCTAATTTGAGTGAGACTGAAGCAATCAATTTAGGGGATCAGGATGATGTTAGGGAAACCAAGATAAGTGTGCATTTAGAACCTCAAGTTAAGGAGGAAATAATCAAAACATTGTTTGAGTACAAAGATGTCTTTGCATGGTCATATGACGATATGACGGGCCTGAGCACTGATCTGGTAGTTCATAAATTGCAAACTGATCCAGCATTCCCTCTTGTCAAGAAAAAGTTGCGAAAGTTCAAGACTGATATGAGTGTGAAGATCAAAGAAGAAATCACAAAGCAACTTACTGCAAAGGTCATTCGAGTCACTCGATATCCCACTTGGTTAGCCAATGTTGTGCCAGTACCAAAGAATGATGGTAAGACCAGGGTCTGTGTTGATTACCATGATCTTAACAAAGCAAGCCCAAAAGATGATTTTCCATTGCCGAACATTCACATTCTGATCGATAATTGTGCCAAGCGTGAGATTGGGTCTTTTATGGATTGTTACGCGGCATATCACCAGATCTTGATGGATGAGGAAGATGCAGAAAAGACAGCATTTATCACGCCATGGGGAACATACTATTATCGGGTAATGCCATTTGGTTTGAAGAATGCTGGGGCAACTTACATGAGGGCGATGACCACCATATTTC